CGCCCTCGGATGGCGTGGTCGCGGACGAGTGCGAGGAGCGCGCCCGCCGCGGGCGAACGGAGCGCCGTCCTCCCCTCAGCGGCCTCGACGTGTTGCGCCAACGCTGTGCTGCTGTTCCAGCGGAACGCGCGGCGGTGGAAGTGAGGCTCATCCCTTGCCCCTTGCCCGTGCGCCGTGGCTTCCGCGCCGAGGATGCAGTGTGCAATCGTGCCGCTGAAGCCAAAGGAACTGACTCCCCCAACGGCAGCGACAACCCGCTCCCGCCTCTCGGCTCCGCCCTGCTGTGTGCCCAGCTGGCAGGCGCAGCCCTGCATCGCAGACTGCACGTGCGGGTTGACTAGACGGAGCTGGGCATTCGGAGCGAGAGCGCGGCTGCCGGCCGCACTCGCGAGCTTGAGCAGACCCGCCAGCCCGGCCGCAGTCTCGGCGTGCCCCATGTTTGCCTTGATGCTGCCGACAGGCAAGGCGCACACCTCTGCGTCGCGCCGAAGGAGCAACGTGCTCACGAGCGACCGAACCTCGATGGGGTCGCCAAGCGCCGTGCCCGTCCCGTGCGCCTCAAGCAGACCCACCTGGCCAGCGTCGACGGCGGCGTCCTCGGCGGCCAGGCGGAGCAGCTCCTGCTGCGCCTGTCCGTTCGGCGCCGTCAAGCTGGCGCTGCGTCCGTCCTGCCGCACGCAGCTCCCGAGGACGCTGCACACCGGCGCGGCAGCCGACATCTCCAGCGCCACCGCGACGCAGCCCTCGCCGCGCGCGAAGCCGTCCGCCCTCCGGTCGAAGGTGTGGCTCCGGCCGGCTGGCGACGTCATGCCCGCGATGGCAAACGTCAGGCTGCTCTCCGGAAGGAGCATCAGGTTGACGCCCGCCGCGAGGTGCGCCGCGCAGGCCTCGCCCTGCACAGCACGCGCCGCAGCGTGCATGGCGACGAGAGAGGCCGAGCATGCTGCGTCGATGGAGTAGCAGGGGCCCTGCAGCCCTAGCGCATACGAGATCCGGCCAGAGGCGACGGACAGGGTCGCGCCCGTGGCGGCGTAGACGCTGCGGCCCATCGCTCCCCTCGCGAGGACGCGCCCAAACTCGGTCGAGTAGATGCCAATGGCGACGCCCGTGTCGCTCCCGTGCAGGGGCGAGGGGTGGCGCCCGAACCCGCAGCCGTGCAGCGCCGCGTACCCGGCCTCGAGCAGCAGCCGCTGCTGCGGGTCCATCGCGCTCGCCTCGGCCTCCGAGATCCCAAAGCGGCGGTGGTCGAAGAGGGCGGCGCACCGCAAAAAGCAGCCGTGTCGCACCCGCCGCAGGGTGGCCTCTTCGACACGCGTGGGGGGCACCAGGGGCCAACGCTCGAAAGGCACCTCGGTGGCGGAGTCGGAGGCCGTGCCCACAAAGGCAGCGAGGGCCGACTCCGATCCGACCCCGCCCGGGAGCCGACACGCGCGGCCGACGACCGCGACCTGCCGCCGCGCAGCCTCGGCCGCGGAAGACGGGGCCGCGCCAGGGGCAGCGCGGTGGGCGTGTACATGGACAGGGGCGAAGAGGTGCGCCTCGAGGCGGCGGACCGTCGGGTACTCGAAGACGAGCGACTCGGGCAGGTCTGCTCGCTCGAGCCTCTCCGCAAGGCGCGAGCGCAGCTCGACTGTCCCGAGAGAGTCGAGGCCAGCCTCCATCAGCGGCGTGTCCGCGGAGACCGGCCCGACAAGCTCCTCAACCACAGAGCGAAGTGCCGCCCGGCCGTCCGGCGGGGGCCGGGCCGCCGCGCTCCGCGAGTCGCCCTCCGCTCCAAACTGCGCGAGCGCTCGCACGAGGTCGTCCATCGCCGCTCCGGCGGCGGCGGACGGCGGCGACGGTGCGGGCGGCGGCATCGACTCGGCCAAATGGCGCTTGAGCTTGGCGACGGTGGGGTGGTCGAAGACGACCGTCTCTGCGAGCTCGGAGAGCTGGAGCCGCTCTGCCAGCCGGGTGCGCAGCTCGACCGCGCCGAGCGAGTCGAGCCCCGCCTCCATCAGCGGCGCGTCTGCGTCGACACTCCCAAGCAACTCTGCAACGACCTCGTCGACAGCGCCAGACACCCGGTTGGCAACTTGACGCCGCTGAGCGGCCGCAGAAGGGGAGCCGCCGCTGGCGGGCGACGCCGCGGCGGCGAGCCGCAGCAGCTGGTCGAGCGAGGCGTTCCGCGCCAGGATGCTCACCGGCGAATCGGTGCGCTCTCCACCAGGAGCAGCTAGCGCAGGCGGCGGCAGCAGCAGCGGCGGCAGGGGCACCGCCGTGGCCGCGTTGTACACGTACGTGCGGCGCCCCCGCGCGTCCACCTCGGCGAGGGAGAAGGTGCGCGCCTCCTCCGCGCCGCGCCCCGCGCGCACCGCCCACCCGAGGCGCCGCTGCGCCTGCAGGAACCGTTCGCTCGCCGCGCTGTACTCTGCGGCAGAGAGCAGCGGGCGCGCCGCCAGCTCGACCCCAAGCCGCGAGCGGACGCGCGGCTCGCCGCGGACGCAGAGCTCGAGGCCGAGGCACCCGTGCTCGTCGCCGGCGACCAGGGCGAGCCGCTCGCCCTCCTGCGGAGGTGCTGCATCCAGCAGCCGCGAGAGGAGGCCGACAAAGGGCGCTGCTGACTGGAGAGAGCCGACGGCGCGGGCGAGTGCTGACGAGTCCGACGGCGAGCGGCCGTGCGCCGCGGCCTCGCCCTCGCCGCGGTCGTGCTGCGGGCTACCCTCCCCTTCGCGCCGGGGAGGCGTGTCCGGAACGAAGGATGCGGCCGTCGGCCAACCAAACGGGCAGTGCCTCCCCCAGCCGTGCCGCGCGCTCACCCTCTCCACGCGCGAGAGCGACCACGCAGCCGCCGGCCCCACGAGCACGGCAACGGCGGCGGCGCTCCGGACGAGCCCGCCCGCCACGAGGGTGTCGGTGCAGACGACGACCGCCCACCTCCCGTCCCAGGCCGGCGAGTCGAGCCAGCTAACGCACGCCAGCAGTGCCTGCAGGCCTCCGCACGCGCCGTCGTAGGCGTCGAGCCCCTCGATGTCGGCGCAGCCGCCGAAGAGCGCCATCAGGTGGCTCTTGAACGACTTGGACCGGTCGAGCAGCGACTCGGACGCCACCTGCAGCATGCCCACGTCCTCGTACCGCAAGCCGTGCGCCTTGACCAGCCGGCTCACCGCCGTCAGCGCCATCGAGACGGCGTCCTCGTCCTCGTCGCAAGTGCTCAGCCGGTCTAGAGGGAGGCCGGGCGAGGCGCCGCGCACGGGCGGGTCCATCTCCGCCGCGGCGACGCAGTGGCGCGGAGAGTAAACCTCGAGCGCGACGATGCCGGCGTGGCGCTCCTCCTCCGCATAAAGCAGGCTGCCGGCTGAGGCCAATCGCAAAGGGGGAAGGGGAGAAGGCAGGGGCGATGACTCGCGGAGCGAGAGCCGGGCAAGTGCCGCGTGCCTTCGCATGCTCAGGTTGGGCGGGCGCGCTGCCTGCGGCGCTGGGGCAGCGCGAGCGGGCTTGCGCGGCCTGCTGCTGCTGCTGCTGCTGAGGTCAACCACGCCATGCGCCTCGAAGTGCGCCCGCACCGCCTCGCCCTCGGGGTCGGCTACCCGCGGAAAGTTGAGCCGCAGCACCGCGCGCACCCCGTGCGCCGGCTGAGCGGCAAGCCAGCCGGCGAGGCGCAGGGCCCGCGCCTCGACGTCGCCCTCCACCGCCTCGGCGAAGCCGCAGGCCTGCGCCTCGGCGGCGGTGGCGAGCTGCGCGCGGAGCAGAGTCTCGGCGTCCGCGTGATGGAGTGCGCGAGAGAGGGCCTCCCTCGCACCCGCATCGCTCGCACCCGCATCGCCGCCGCTCGAGAGCGCAAGCCTTGCGCCGGTGCCCATAAGACGGTAGTGCGCGCACGCGGAGAGGCGAAGCCACGCGCCTCCGACGCGGCCCTGCAGAGCGCAGATCACAACCACGCCGGCGTGGCCGATGCGCCGGAGGAGACTCTCGGCGAGCGCCGCCTCCTCGGACGCCGCCGCCTGCCCCCCTGCCCCCTCCGGCTCTCCGCTCGAGCTCTCCTTGTCGCTCACGTGGAGCAGGAGGACGCGCAGCCCGCGCAGGCGCGGCGACTCGAGCAGCCGGCGCATCAGCTCGCAAGCGTGGACGACGCTGCGGCCGAGCTCGAGTGCGGCCACGGTAAAGGCCTCGTCCGCCGCGAGCAGGCGGCCGGGGACGATCGCCGTCCGCACCGGCGCAGGCGCGCTGCCAGCGGCCTCGGTAAAGGCGAAGACAAGGCGTTCCAGGTGGGCGTCGAGCTCCGCCCAGCCGCCCACAACGTCCACGAGCCCGAGCCGCTGCGCTGTCGGCGCGTCGATCACATCGCCCGTGCAAAAGAGGCGCTCGCACGCCGCGCGGCTCAGCCGCTGCCGCGCCGCCACGCTGACGACGCCGGGCAAGGCGCCGCGCCGGATCTCGGGGAAGCCGAACGTGGCGTCCGAGTGCGCGAGCACGACTGTGCCGAGGCACGGGAAGGCCATCCCTCCTCCGCGGGTGGCGCCGTGGCAAACCACCACCTTCGGCATCGGCGCCGCCTCCAGCTCGTCGACCTGCCGGCCAAAGCGGTCGACGTCGTCGAGAAATGCGCCGCTGCGCAGCCGCTCGTGCGACACGTCGCCGCCGAGGCAGAAGCCGCCCGCGCGGTCGCGGCCACGGAAGACGAGGAGGGCGCACTCGGGCCATCGGAGGGCGCCCTCCGGGTCGGCCACCAGATGAAGGGGCACCTCCACCGTGTGCACGGTCGGCGGGCGCAGCGCGCGCGCCTCGAGCTCCACGGGGGCGAGGGTGGGCGGGGAGGGCTCGAGCGCGGCGGCGCGGGCGGCGGCGGGCGCGAAAGTCCCGCCGTTGAGCGCGTTACACCGCGCGTGCGAGACCACCTCGGCGGCGTCGAGGGCGGCGTCGGGCTCGAGCCGGTCAGCGAGCAGCGCCGAGGCGGCGGCGCCGTCCCGCGATAGCGCGCGCGCCACCTGGAGGGCCCTCTGCTGGGCGGCTACCGTGCCGGGCTGCACCTCGTGCACCAGTCGGATGGCGCAGGCCTGGTCGGCGCCGATCGTCTCGTTGGTCAGGTACATGCGCAGCGCGCGCGACGGGCCGACGGCGTGCGGCAGCCGCGCCGTGTAGCCGCCGATCGGGCAGACCCCGCGCACGAGGTTGCCGTGCTCGAAGGTCGCCTCTGCCGCGGCCACGACGTAGTCGGCGCAAGTGAGGACTGCGATGCCGCCGCCGATGAGTTTGCCGTGCGTCGCGGCCACCACGGGCACGCCGAGCGACCGCAGGGCGGTCAGGCCGCGCAGCGTGTGCAGCAGCGACCTTGCCGCGGCAGGCACCGCGACGCGCCCCTTGCCCGCGTGCGAGTACGGGTTGCCGCCCGCCGAAAAGTGCGGCCCGGTCCCCTGCAGCACGACCGCGCGGACGGCCGGGCGGCGCTCGCGCAAGCAAGCGACGGCGGCGTCAAAGTCGTCGCCTGTGGAGGAAAGGGCGGCGAGTCAAGAGAGCGGACGCTGTGAGCAGTGGGAGGCGAGGTCGGCGCCTAGCTCGGCCGACATCGTGTTGAAGCGCGCGGGGTCGTCGAGCTCCAGCGTTGCGACGAGCCCCTCGTCGTCGACGCGTAGCCGGACCAGCCGCGCGCCGCCGCGCTGCCGTGGCGCGAGCGGCTGGAGGCTCCCCATCGCAACCAAAGCGGCGTCCGCCGAGGGGGCGGGCAGCGCGGTCCAGCAGGTGCGCAGCAGGTCCGGCGGCGCCGCCTGCAGCCGCTCCACCGCTTGCCGCGCCGCCGCTGCCGCCGCCGCTCGCCCCGTGTGCACCTCGTCGAGCAAGCCCATGCCGACGGCCTCGACGGCGGTGTTGCGCGCCGCGGCGGAGGGCACGCGCAGTCTCCTCCCGGTGGCGAGGCCGTTGCACCCCTCGGGCCAGTGGAACGACGCGCCGCGCTCGCCGACGGCCACCAGCGCCGCGTCTAGCAGCAGGAACGCGCCCGTGCCCCGAATCTCGCCCGCGCAGAGCAGCACGAGCAGCGGGCGAGCGGCGCAATAGCTGGCGAGGTCCGCGTCCTCGCTGATCGCCACGGAGTCGAGCTCTACCAGCAGCGGCGACCCGGCCGGCGCACGCTCCAAGTGCGCGATCGCCTCGCCGCCGCGCAAGCGGCCCCGCAACTGCAGCATCGGCGCAACCTGCAACAACACCTTGCCCACGTTTTGGCCACGCTGCAGCAAGCGAAAGGCCGCCCGCGCGCCCGCGGAGTCCAGCGCAAAGCAGCTGCAGGGCAGTGGCGACACGTGCCCCACATCAACGCCCCTCGTGAGCTGCTGCAGGCGGCCGCTCAACCAGCCCCCGGGGTTCGCAGCCCAGCCCGGGCAGCCGCGGCAGCCATCGTCGACGGCGACGGCGCAAAGGTCGGCGGTGGGGTGCGACGCAGCGACCCGCTCGCCGCTCCACACGTCGAGCTTCCCGAGCTCGGAGAAGGTCGCCCCTTGCCCCAGAACCAGCAGCGAGGCCGGGATGTGCTCTCGGGAGAGGGCGTTGACGACGGCCGTGACGCGGCGGCCGCGCAGGCTGAGGACGAGCCCGAGGACGAATGCCGCCGCGTCTCGCGAGCTGACCGTCACAGAGACCCCTCGTGCGCGGAGCAGGGAGTGCTTGAAGGGCGCGCCGGCGGACGCGGCGGCGCTGACGGCGAGCCAATGGAGCAGCTCGAGGCTGACGAGGCCCACCCCGCCCGTGGCCGCGTGCAGCAGCGCCCGCCCACCCGTCCTCGTGCGCGCGTCGGCGCAGACGTAGCTCGCGGTCACCCATGCAGTGGGCAAGGTGGAGGCGGACTCGAAGGTGAGGCACGCCGGCATCGGAGCGCAGCGGCCGAGCGCGGCGCGCGCGTACGTGGCGCACGCACCCACCGCCAGCCCGTAGAGGGCGGCCCCGCGCGCGCTCAGCGCGGTGCCGGTAAACTCTCCGCCGATGGGGCGGAGCTGGCCCGAAGGGTCCTTGCCGAGGACATTGAGCACGTCGCGGAAGTTGAGGGCGGCGGCGTGCACCCGCATGATCTGCTCAGGCTCGCAGCCGGCGCGGACGCGCAGCTTGCGCTGCCGACGGCACTCGAGAAAGTGGAGGGAGCCAGCTCGGCCGTTGGGGAGGCTCAGTGCTTTCGCGTCGAAGGGGCCGAGGGCCAAACGGGACGCAGCGCCGACCGCCGGCGGCGGCGGCAGCCAATTGTACGACTTGCGCGAGTAGCCGAGCGGCGGCACGTCCACTTGCAAGGGGCGCTGGCTCGTCGGATAGCGAAGGGCCACGTGCGCTATGGTGCCGCTGTAGCCAAAGGAGCTCACGCCGCCCGCCACAGCTGAGCTGGTCAGGTCGCTCACGCACATTGTCGCGGCACATGGCAGGTGGAGCAGAGCCGCATGGACGTGCGGGTTCAGCACTCGAAGCTGCGCATTCGGCGGCGCAGTGGCCACGCCCAGCGTGGCGGCGAGCTTCAGCAAACCCACCGCGCCGGCCGCAGGCTCGGCGTGACCGAGGTTGGCCTTCATCGAGCTGATCAACAAAGGCTCCTCCTGGCCCCGATCGGACAGCAGCGCTGCCGCCACCGCGCCCACCTCGATCGGGTCGCCGAGTGGCGTGCCAGTTCCGTGCGCCTCGAGGCAGCTCAGCGCAGGGGCCAACAGCCCCGCATCCGCCAGTGCCGCCTTCAGAAGCACCTGCTGCGCCCGCCCATTCGGTGCGGTCAGGCTGGCGCTCTTGCCGTCTTGCCGCACGGCGCTGCCGGAGCGGCCCATCTGTGTGCCCTCGCTTTCCCTGCCCGCGATGGTGAGCATGCTCACGCAACAAGCCTCGGATCGTGCGTACCCATCGGCGCCGGCATCAAAGGTGCGGCACCGGCCGGTGGCAGAGGTCATGCCGGCGAGGGCGAAGCTGGCCGCGACCCGAGGCAGGAGCATGACGCTGACGCCTGCGACCAGGGCGCCGTCCGCCTCGTCCTGCTGCAGCGCGCGCAGCGCGCCGTGATGCGCCACGAGCGCGGAGGAGCACGCGGTGTCGTACGAGACGCACGGGCCCTGCATGCCAAGCACAAAGGACAGCCGGCCCGAGGCGATCGAGAGGCTGCCGCCGGTGGCGGCGTAGACGCTGCGGCCGGCGGGCGAGTGCGCAAGCACCGTCTGCCAGTCGTTGGCTCCGATGCCGACGAACACCCCGAGCGCGCTGGCGGCGAGCGAGGCGCGCCGGAGCGACGCGCAATGCAGCGCCTCGTAGCCGCGCTCGAGCAGCAGCCGCTGCTGCGGGTCCATCGCTGCCGCCTCGGCGGGCGAGACGCCGAAGAAGGCGTTGTCGAAGAGGTCGAGCGAGCGCAAGAAGCCGCCGTGCCGCACCCGCCGCGCCACCGCGTCGTCGGCCGCCGCAGAAGGCTGGAGCATCCAGCGGCTCGCCGGCACCTCGCCAACGGCGTCGGCGCCGCAGACCGCAAGGTCCGACAGCGCGGCTTGCGACGCGCCGCCGCCCGGAAGCGCCGCCGCCGCCCCGGCCAGGCCCACTGCTCGCCGATCCCCGGCGGCCACCGCCGTGGCGCTGCCCCCGCCGGCGGCTTCGACGGCCGGCGCCGCGGGCCCCTCGAGACGCGCCGCCAGCTGCCGCGCCGTCGGGTGGTCAAAGACGAGCGTGCTCGGCAGCTCCTCGCCCGACGCGCGCTGCAGCCCGTTGCGCAGCTCGACCGCGCCGAGCGAGTCGAGACCCACTTCCATCAGCGGCGCGTCTGGGTTGACCTCGTTGCCGGTGGTCTGTCGCACCATCTCGAGCACTTCCTGCAGCCCGACCACGCCCGAGCGGCCGGCGGCGCGAGGCTCGGCAGCCGCCTCCGCCCTGCTGGGCTGAGCCCGCCGAGAGCGGTGCTTCCACGGGAGCAGCAGCCCGGGCGGCTGCGCCACCCCGCGCAGGTAGCTCCCCCAGTCCGCCGCAAAGACTGCGGCGACCGACGAGCTCGACAGGACCTGGCGGAGGCTCTCCCACGCGAGGGCGCGCGAGACGAGCCCCGTGCCCGCGCTGGCGGCGCGCCTGTCCGCGCCGTGCCGGGCGGCGTACCCAACCTCGGCGACGGCGCCCCACTGCAGGCCTGCACCGCTGACGCCCGCGCCGCGCCGGAAGTGCACCAGCGAGTCGAGCCACGCGTTGGCGGCCGAGTGCGGCGACTGGCCGGCGGAGCCCATCAGGCCCGCCATCGACGAGTAGACGACGAAGGTGCGCAGCGCGCCCGCCGTGAGGCTCGCCGCGTGCAAGCTGCTGCCGCCGCCCACCTTCGGGCCGAGGACGGCGCGGAAGCGCAGCGGCGTCTGGTTGGCGAGGGCCGCGTCCGAGAGCACGCCCGCCGCGTGAAAGACACCGCCCAAGCGCCACGGCCCTCCGAGCACAGAGCGCGCGAGGGCGGCGGCGGACGCCTCGTCCGACACGTCGCACCGCACACGCTCGACCGAGGCGCCGCTGTCGGCGACCCACGCCCAGTCGGCCTCGCTCCCGGCCTGCACGCGCCCGCTCCGCGACGAGAGCACGAGCCGCGAGCCGCCGCCGCGCTGCGCGAGCAGCCGCGCCGTGAGCAGCCCGAGCCCGCCGAGCCCGCCGGAAAAGAGCTGCGCCTCCGCCGCCACCCCGGCGGGCCAAGCGGCCTCGGGTCGTCGCGCCACCTGCGCGACCATCACCGCCTGCGTGCGCAGCGCACCGCCGCCCCGCGCCGCGTGGCTGCGCGCGAAGCCGCTCTCCGCAAGGAGCGCGCGCCAGTGCTCCCACGCCATCAGCGGGCTGCTCTGGCCCAGCCGCGCCGGGTCGGCCGCGAAGAGCCACCAGCCGTCCGTGAGGCCAAACGTGATCTGCGCAAAGGCGCTCGTGGCCAGCGCCTCGTTGACGAGCAGCAGCCCGCCCGGCCGCAGCAGCCGGCGGCAGTTGCGGAGGGTGTGGCGGATGAAGGGCGTCGCGTGCAGCACGTTGGTGGCGACGGCGACGTCGAACTGCGCCGCGGCGAAGCCCTGCAGCCGCGGGTCTGCGTCGATGTTGAGCAGCTCGTACTGCATGAAGCGGGCGAAGCGCGCGAAGCGCGGCTCCGCCTGGCGCAGAAAGACCTCCGACACGTCGGTGAAGGTGTAGCGCGCGCAAGACAGCTCGAGCGACGGCAGCACGCTCGCTGCCGTGCCGCCGGTGCCGGCGCCAACCTCGATGACGCAAAGCAGCCGGCCGGGCGGGAGGGCGGCGACGACCGACTCGACGGCCGCGACCAGCGCGTCGTTGTAGAAGCGCGAGACGGCGGCCTCCTCGTAGACGGGCAGCAGCGCCTCCATCGACCCTCCGGGGAAGAGCAGCTCCTGGTAGGAAGCGGCGCCCCGCAGCACCGCGCCCAGCCGCGGGCCGCATCGCTCGGCCAGGTCCACCAAGGGACGCAAGCCGGCGTGCGCATCCACCACCGCCGAAGGGGCGACCGGCGCGGCGCACGGCGGCTGCTGCGCGCACCAGCGGAGCAGCAGCCGGTGGTGCCACGCCGCGACGGAGGAGGGCGCGGCGAGGCCCTCGACGGCGGCCTGCACGTACTGCCGGCACAGGGCATCGAGCAGCTCGCACGCGCGCGAAAGAGAGTCTCCGTCCAGCGCCGCCTCCGCCCGCCGCGTGTGCGCGTCCAGCCGACCGCAGACCGCCCCAAACTCGGCGGGCAAGCTCCGGGACACGTGCGGCGCGCCCACCCGCATCACAACCTTGCCGATGCTCCGCCCGTTGGCGAGGAAGCGGAAAGCGGCTTGCGCCTGGCGCACCAGGTCAAAGGCGACCGCCGGCAGCGGCCGCACCGTCGCCGCCACCAGTCGCCGCGCAAGCACCTGCAACACCCGCCGCAGGAACCAGCCTGGGCGCGACGGCACCTCGGTCGCCATGTCCAGCACTGCGTAAGCGACGCCCGCCGCCGCCGCGCGGCCGTCGCTCCACACGCCTCGCTTGCCAATCTCCTCCAGCCGGCCGCGCTCGCCCAGCGCAGCGCTCGACGCAGCGATGAAGTCGGCCGAGAGGCTGTTGAGTGCCGCGTGCGCCCGCGACCCTCGCAGCAAGCCGACGAGACCCACCACGCTCGCTCCGGCGTGGCGGGAGCTGACCAGCCGCCGGCAGCCGAGGCTGCGAAGCGTGTGGTGCTTCCACGGAGCCCCGGCCGAGCCGACGAGGGATAGCTGGAGCCAATGCGCGTACTCGGTCGCCGCGAGGCCGACGCCGCCCGCGGCGGCGTGGACGAGGAGCGCGCGGCGGCCCGAGAGCCGCAGGCGCTCAAAGCCGGCGTGGACGGTTCCCCAAGTACTCACCAACGTGCTGGCCTGCTCGAAGCTCGTCGCCGACGGCTTGCGCACCTGCAAGCGGCTGTCGGCCCGCGCCCGCGAGGCGAGGCAGCCGACTGCGCTGCCAAACGACGCCGCGCCGATCGAGAGGTGCCCGCCGCCGCCCGCGCCGAGGCCGCGCACAACGCCGGAGCAGTCTGTGCCAGGATCTGTCAGGTATTGCTCTGGCAGCTCTTGCAGCACGATCAGCACGTCTCGAAAGTTCAGGCCGACCGCGCACACCTGCAGCTCCACCTCCGACGCCGCCAGCGGCGCATCGAACGGACGTTGCGCGTCGACGCGCAAGTCGGCAATCGCCCCGCGCCCTGCGGCGCTCAGACAGATGGCCTCGGGGAAGCTGCAGTCGACCGGGGCGGCGAGCCTCGGCGCGTGCAGCAACGACCCACGTAGAACCGCCTCACTCTCCACGGACGGCGCCACGCGCAAGCCGTGCACGCTGCCGCCGCCCAAGCGGATCTGTCGGCCGCCGAGCAGCCTAGCCACGCTCGCAACGGCAGCCTCGCCGTCCAAATCCAAGCTGCAAACAGGGAGCTGCAGCTCCGCACGGCACGCGCGAGACAAGCCCCACATCCCCGCGTGCGCGCACCGCGCCGCCGAGGCGCCCGCCACCGGCTGGGCCATGAGCGTGCACAGCCACACCGGCACTGGAGCCGCCTGCGATGCCTGCCACTGCACCGCGCTGAGCGCGCCGGCGAGGGCGTGCAGGCCGTGAGCAAAGGCAGGGCCGAGGGCGGCCAGCAGCACCGCGTCCCACCGCTCCGCGCCGAGAGCGCCTCCTGTGCTCGAGGAGAGGCTGCCCAGCCGCAGCAGCGCGGCGGGCGCCGTGTCTGCGATGACCGCGACCCGCGGTAGAGGAGGAGCGGCGCCAGCCCCTCCCTCTGCGGCCTCCGGCTCGGCGGCGCACCACTCCACCACGTACCTTGACGGCGCGAGCGGCCTCTGCTCGCGCGGCGCGGGGGCGGCGGAGAGCGCGCGGCTCTCGAAGCCAGAGAGGCGCGTCTGCGCGTCTGCGCGCGGCGAGCCCAGCCACACGGCGGTGTCGTCAGCCCCGCGCTGAGAGGCCGCCGCCCACAGCCGGCCGGACGAAGCGCCGACTCGCGCCTCGGCGATCGCAAAGGGCATCCGCGTCTCCTTGGAGGCAGACGGCGAGAGCAGCGACGCGAGCTGGAGGGCGCCATCGAGGTCGGCGGGGTGGACCCCGCCGCCCGGCCACACCTTGCGCCCCCGCAGCCGCGCTGCGACCGTCGCCTCGGCCGCCCAGGCAGACTGCAGAGTGCGGAAGTCCTCGGCGTATTCGAGGCCCATGGAGCGGAGGCTGGCGTACAGCGAGGGCACGACGACAGGCCGAGGACAGCACTCCCTCACCGACCGCAGGGCCGGTGGGATCGCCTGGGCCGCCGCACCCGCCACCCGCACTGCCGCGAAATGCGCGACTCCGTCCCCGCCCGCCGCGTTTACGCTAGCCACCTCGAGCCTGCCCGACGAGCTGTCGAGCTCGCAAGTGACGGACGCTTCGTCGGCGAGAGAGAGAAAGAGGGGGCGGAGAAAGAAGGCGCGCTGCAGCACGGCGGCCGCCCCTGACGGCTCGCGGTCCACCCGCTGGCTCACGGCGCGGGCCAGCTCCAGGTAGCCGGCAGCGGGAAAGACGACGCGCCCCTGCACGCAGTGCCCGTTCACGAGGGCGAAGAGCGGCCCCTCGATGGGCGAGCGGAAGGTGGCGCGGCCGGCGGCCGGCGGGCCGGCGAGCTGGGCGAGCGGGTGCGGCGACTCGGCCCACGCGTAGCGGCGGCGCCGCAGCCGCGGAGGGAGCGAGGTGGGCGCGGGGGCTGGGCGGCCAGGGTCCACGCTCAGCAACGCGTGCGCGATGGTGCCGCTGTACCCGAACGAGCTGACGCCGCCCGCCAGCCCGCGGCGCACGGCGGTGGCGTCGGCGCTCGCAAGCTGCGCCGGCAAGGCGCACCGCCCCGCCGCCTCCTCCGCCAGCGTGCTGTCGATGTGCGGGTTGAGGGCGCGCAGCTGCGCGTTGGCAGGGCTGCGCGACTCGGACAGACCTGCAGATAGCCGCAACATCCCCGCCAGCCCCGCCGCTGGCTCCGCGTGGCCGGCATTCGCCTTCAGGCTCCCGACCAGCAGCGGCGCCGCGCCGGCGCGGGCGTGCAGCACCGAGAGCGCGATCGAACGAACCTCGATCGGGTCGCCAAGCGCGGTGCCGGTCCCGTGCGCCTCGTAGCAAGACACCTCCCCCGCATCCAACCCGCTCTCGCCGACGGCCGCAACCACCAACGCCTGCTGTGCCTGGCCGTTCGGCGCAGTGAGGCTCGCGCTGCGGCCGTCCTGCCGCACCACGCAGCCACGCAAGAGCTGCAGCCCCCCAGCCGCAAGCCGCAACACCGCCGCATGGCAACCCTCGCCACGGCCGTAGCCATCGGCGCGGCGGTCAAACGAGTGGGAGCGGCCGTGAGGAGACGTCATGCCCGCCCGTGCCATCCCGAGACTCGCATACTGGCTGAATATCATGTTGACGCCCAGTGCGAGGGCGGCCGTGCACTCGCGCAGCTGCAGGGCGCGCATGCCGCCGTGAGCCGCGGCGAGGCTGCTCGAGCAGGCGGTGTCGTACGAGAGGCAGGGCCCCTGCAGGCCGAGCACAAACGAGACGCGCCCGGCCGCGACGGAGCACATCGCCGCCGTGGCTGAGTACACGCTGAGCGCGGCGGGCGAGCGAGCGAGCACGTCGTTGAACTCGGGGGTCCACACGCCAAGGAACACGCCACACAAGCTGCCCTGCAGGCTCGCCTTGCGCATCGCGGCGCCGTGCAGCGCCTCGTACCCCACCTCGAGCAGCCGCCGCTGCTGCGGGTCCATCACCGCCGCCTCGGCCGGCGCGACGCCAAAGAAGCCGCTGTCGAAGAGGTCCGCGTCGGCGAGGAAGGCCGCGTGGCGCTGCCGTTCGGCGAGGTCCGAAGAGGCTCCGTCGAGCCCCGCGCGCACGTCCCATCGCGAGGCGGGCACCTCGCTCACCGCGTCGCAGCCGCAAGCGACGAGCCGCCAGAGCGCGGCCGTGCCCTCGCCCTGCGCGCCGCCGGGCCCGACAGCGCACGACGAGGCGACCTCCACCGACGCCAGCCGGTCGATGTCCACAGCAGCCGTCTGCCGCGGGGCATCGGCAGGCCGGCCATTGCCCTGAGCCAAGAGCAACCGAGAGAGCTGGCGCGCAGTCGGGTGCTCGAAGACAAGGGTGCTCGGCAGGGTGGCCTTGCAGTGCCGCTGCAGCAGGTTGCGCAGCTCGACCGCGCCGAGCGAGTCGAGCCCCGCCTCCATCAGCGGCGCGTCTGCGTCCACCTCGCTGCCCACGGTCCGCCGGACCAACGTGAGCACCTCGCCCACGCTGGCCACGGCACCGAGCGGGACGGACGCGGTGGTGTCAGCGGCACCGCCGCCCGCGGTGAGCAGCAGCCCGCTGCAGAGCGGCGGTACCGAAGGCATCGAGCCGAGGAACGTGCTCCATCGGACGGCTAGCGCAGCCACGACAGGCGACGCGCGCAGGCCAAGCGCCGAAGAGAGTGCTCGCATCCCCTGCCGCGGCGAGAGCAGCCCCACGCCGACCGCCTGAAGCCGCGCATTGACCGCCGCCCCCGAGGCCATCCCGACGTCGGCCCAAGCCCCCCACTGCACGCTCAAGGCGGCGAGCGCCCGCGCGTGCAGCTGTGCGCCAAGCGAGTCGAGGCAGCAGTTGGCCGCGGCGTAGTTGGCCTGTCCCGCCCCACCGAGCAGCGCCGCCACCGACGAAAAGAAGACGCACGCGTCTAGCGGCTGCGCCGCGCACGCCCTGTGGAGAAGGAACGCACCGTCCGCCTTTGGGGCAAACACTCGACGCAGCGTCGCCACGCCTTGCGATCGAAGAGTGCCGTCGGCGAGCACGCCTGCCGCGTGCCATACTCCACCCACTGCCGGGCCGGCCTCGCCGCTGGCAATGCTGCCGAGCAGCTGGGCAATCCCCGCCGGCTCCGCGGCGTCGCACGCCGCGGCGAGGACGGCGCACTGCGACGGGACAGAGAGCGCGCGCGCGGTGCCAGAATGAGATCCCGAGCGAGACGCGAGCACGAGGCTGGCAGAGCCCCTCTCAGCTAGCCAGCGTGCGGTGACGAGGCCGAGGCCGCCGAGGCCTCCGAGCAGCAGCTGGCGGCGCGAGAGGCACGGCTCGAGCAGCTCCGAAGCGGGGGCGGCGGCCGGATGCAGGCGGGGAGCCAAAGTGCCGCCGCCGCGGCTCGCGAGCTCGTGCTCTCCGTGCGGCTCTGCGCTGAGGAGGAGGGCCCGACACGGCGCACCGGTCGCTAGGTCAAGGACCAGAAGCCGCAGCTGGGCCGCCGCCTCCACCCGGGCGGTGCGGGCGAGGCCGAGCGCCCCACCGTGCTGCGGGCTCGCTGTGGCAGCGGAGCCGATCGTCAGCGACCCGGACGTGAGCAAGGAGAGGTCGGCCGCATCAACCGCCGATAGCTGCGCTCGAACTAGCGACAAGGATGCGAGGAGCGCGGCGAGCGGCGCAGAGGCAGCCCTGCCGGACGCAGCCGGGTGCGCAAGCGCGACGCCGGACCGCCATCCCGCAATGGGTAGGCCGCTCGCGACCGAAGAGCCGCCCAGAGCAACCACTCGATGGCGTCGAGGCAGGGGAGTCGACACGGCGGCGAGCGGTCGCCAAGTGGTGGTGTAGAGATCGCGCACCGCGCCGGCTCCGAGCCGCGAGGGCGTCGCCAACCGGAGCGCGCGCGACTCGAAGCCGTCCAGCGCCGCGAAGGCGCCGCCGCGCCACCCCGCGCCCGCCAAGCGCACCGCGACACTTCGACGCGTGGAGGTCCAGACCGCAGCGGCCCTGGACCGACCAAGGGGCGCTCCAAGCCGGGCGGCGCGCACGGCGTAGGGCACCATCGTCCCCTCCCCCGCCCCGCCGAGGACGGCGCTCAGCTGCATCGCGCTGTCCAGGTCTGCCGGGTGGAGGCGCACTCCCTGAGTGGCTCGGGCAGGGCGCAGCCGCGCAGTGGCGGCCTGCGGCGCGTCGCCGGCCGCCCAAGCGGCATGCAGCCGACGGTACGCGAGTCCGTACTCGAGTCCGGCAGAGCGAAGGCGCGCGTAGAGCTCGCACACGTCCACCGCCAGCACCGCCGCCCCCCGGATCGAGGCAGCCACCGGCCACGGCCCGCCGTCCGCCATATCGCCCGGCGGGGCAGCGGCGACTCCGGAGCAATGCACAGTCGCCTCGGTGGCCAGCCTGCGCACGCCCCACTCGCTCCGGACCTCGAACCCCCGCGCCGCGTCCACCTCACACGCGATCGTCGTCCCGCCGTCGTCATCCAATGGCGGCTCGAGGACGAGCGGCGCCACAAAAAAGGTGCGCTCGAGCTCGGCGCGCGCGGCGGGCGACGCCGAGCTCGCTACCGCAGCGGCGCGCGCCATCTCGAGGTAGCCGGCGCCAGGGAACACGACACTGCCCCGCACGACGTGGTCGGCGACGAGGGCGATTAGAGCGCCGCTTGCGACGGCTGTGAAGCGCGCAGCTTCGGACGGCGAGTGCGCGATGTCCCTCTTCCCGAGGAGTGGGTGAGGCGGACGATGCGCCGAGAAGGCGAAGCGGCGCCGGCGGTAGCCAAGCACAGCGGCCCCGGCGACGGCAATGGGCGCCGCCGCCGCGCCGCGCAATAGCGCATGCGCGATGGTGCCGCTATAGCCGAACGCGCTCACGCCGCCCAAGGCTGGCGCGCGAGCGACTTCGGCGATCTGTGCCGCAAGCGCGCAAGCCACCCCCTCGAGAGCAGATCCAAGGTGGGGGTTGAGAGCGCGCAAGTGCGCGTTCGGCGGCGACCGCGCCTCGAGCAGACCCGTTGCCAGCCGCAATAGCCCTGCAACGCCAGCCGCGGTCTCTCCGTGTGCAGTGTTCGCCTTGAGGCTTCCCACGGCTACCGGCAGCGCCACGCCGCCGCGCGAAGGCAACACTGCTGCGGCGAGCGACCGCACCTCGATCGGGTCGCCGAGCGCAGTGCCGGTGCCGTGCGCCTAGTGCGAACGGGCGAGGGGTGCGCTCGCTCAAGAAGGGGCGCGGCGCCGGGGGCGGGGGCGGGGGCGGGGGCGGGGGGGCGGGGGAGGGCGGTGGAATGGGGGAAGCTGACGCTGCTCCACAGAGACCACTCACCTCGACGCACGAGATGCAGGAGGGCTCCACGCTCGCCTCGGCCAGCGCGGCGCGAAGCAAGCCCCTCTGCGCCTGCCCGTTGGGGGCGGTGAGGCTGGCGCTCTTGCCGTCCTGCCGCACCGCGCTCCCGGCCACGCCGATGGACCCCTCGTCAGGCTCGCCGCCACCATCGCCTGGACCGCCGCTCCGGCTCTCGAGCGTCTCGAGAGCCAGAGACACGCAGCCCTCGCCGCGCGCGAAGCCGTCGGCGCGGCTGTCAAAGGTGTGGCACCGCCCGACCGCCGAGGTCATCCCCGCCACGGCGAAGGTGAGCGCCGTCGCCTGCATCAGCATTGCGTTGACGCCTACGCGACACGGGCGGAGACCGGCGGTGAGGCACCAGCTGAACGGCCGACCAGTTGTGCACAGCCGCTTCCGCGCCGGCGACGAGGTGGCGCTCGCACTCAGCGTGCTGGAGCGCGCGCAGCGCGGAGTGGCAGGCGACGAGCGACGCGGAGCACGCCGTCTCGAAGGCTGCGCACGGCCCTTGCAGGCCGAGGACGTATGACAGCCTCCCAGACGCGATCGACAGGCTCGAGCCGGTGGCGGCATACACGCTGTGCCTCAACGGCCCCGACAGCACCAGCCGACCAAACTCGACGTGGCCGATGCCGACGGCGACGCCCGTGCCGCTGCCGACGAGCGCTGCCTTGTCGAGCCCCGACGCGTGCAGCGCTTCGTAGCCGCGCTCGAGCAGCAGCCGCTGCTGCGGGTCCATCGCCGCCGCCTCGGCGGGCGAGACGCCGAATCGGAGATGGTCGAAGAGCTCAATGGCATCCACAAAGGCGCCGTGGCGAGCGCGCGCGACGGCGTCTGCGCTGTACCCGGCCGGTGCCTCTTGAGCGTCCCATCGAGGCGGTGGCACCTTCCCAGCGAGATCACAACCAGCCGCAGTTGCGCCAGCCAGCAGATCGACCGACGAAACACCCGCCGGCATGGCGCAGCTCTTTCCAGTGACAGCGGCGCCGCGGCGAGAGGCGGCCAGAGCCGTGGCCGAGTGGAGCAGCCCAGGATCTGCCAGCATCCGAGCGATGGCCGCCGCAGCCTCCGCGGTGGCGGCAGAGTCCGCAGAGCCTGGCGCCGTCAGCGAGAGCAAGTGCGCCGTGAGCTGCCGCGCTGTGGGGAAGTCGAAGACGAGCGTCTCTGGCAGCTCTGCGCCGAGCCGGGAGGAAAGGCGGGTGCGCAGCTCGACCGCGCCGAGCGAGTCGAGCCCCGCCTCCATCAGCGGCGCGTCTGCGTCGATGGCCGCACCGACAACCTCTTTTGTGACGGCCGACACCGCCGCCGCCGTGTCCACGGCGGAAGACGAGGCGGCGGCACCTCCGGCCTCGTCGCGATTCGCGTGAGAGACGAGGCGGCGCAGCAGTGCAGCCACGTCGTCCGTCCGACTCGCCGGCGGCCCCTCGCCTGCCGCGCCCACGGATGCCTCGCCTGCCGCGCCCAAGGGTGGCGCGCCCCAGGAGGGCGCGCCCAGCCGCAGCTCCACCACCCGAGGCACGTGCTCGTACGAGCGCACGCCGCGCGCCCCCACCGCGGAGATGCGGTAGCTGCCCGGAGGAGACTCGCCACGTGGCTCCGGCACCCAGCCGAAGCGGCCGCCGCTCGACGCATGCCTCTCGCACACCGCCGCAAACTCCGACGG